AAACAGGATAAAAAGAAATTGACAAACTAGACTTGTTTTTCGAATAAATATTTAAAATTTATTTTAAAAATATAAAAATAATCAATTACTGTCTCTCAAAATTATTATTTATATATTAAAATAGTTAAAATACTAAAAAAAATTGCGGGAGAAATTAAAAAATTGTGGTAGATTTTTGCGGGAGATTTCCAATTGCGATAGTTTAGCTGGAGAGAGATGTCTGCGTGTAAACTAAAAAATTGCAGAAGTCTCCCGCTGATGGGGGGAGACATGGCAACTCTGGTTAGAGAGACCAAAAACTGGGGAAAGGAAAAATAAATAAATAGAAATAGATGACTACAAACAATAAATGTCTCATAAACAAAAGAAGATCTACCCAAAAACATTTCGAACTCAAATCTATGGAAAAATACAATACATACCCAAAACTAAGTATAATATTAAAAAGAGCCAAAGTTAATTCTAGCCCACACAAAAAACACAGATCACAAACTATTTCTCAATGCCATGAACATAGCTTAACACATATAATGGGAAAGTATAGGAAGTACAACAACACCTAAAACATTGTATATGTATGTAATTAAAAGTATGGGACGTACCGATTTAAATTAGTATTAAATCAATGATAAGATAAATAAAAGCTAATGTCAGTGAAGAAAGTAATTCACAGAAAAGGTGAAAGACAAAGTCAGGAGGTAAATTGAGAAATAAAGAGATTAAATAACCTGAATCCAGGAAAATTTTTTTTATGAGAAATTTAGGTAGTTCGATTTAATTTTTAGTAATTTCTTTATAGATTTTTTGTTTTAATTTAGTCTTAGGAACTGTTTCAAATTTAAGTTTAGATCCATTATGTCCTTCAAGGCTCTGTAGAACCATAATGTCTTATATTTGCAATATGTTTTCCCCATTAAAGGAGTATAACCAATTGTTGGCATCAATAACGAGGCTATTGTTACTATGGTTTCTCAAAATATGGGCAAAGAAAGTAAGCCTCTTTTTTAAAGACACAACTTGGGTATGGTTAGACATCATCCAAAAGTTTTCATTCGAGATAATGGTAGAAGATGCCATTTATTATTCTTAGACATTTATTTACGAACGTTTGTAATTTCCTAGTTTCGGTCTTGGTAATCTCCCATGTATCACCGCCATAAAAGAGAATCGGAATGATAGGTGAGTTGAAAATACGGAATCTAGTAAAAACGGATATCTCCCTAGCTTTCCACAGCTTGAAAAATTTATAACAAGCTGCTCTAGCATTTTGTATACGGATTTTTAGTTCCTCTTTACAACTACCTTTATTGTCAATGGTTACACCTAGATATTTTAAGGATTTCCCCACCTTAACCAACTTTCCCCCAATCACCAAATTATTCAGAAGGGGCGCCTGAGACGAAGGCATTATCACTGTTTTATCAAAGTTTATATCCAACCTTAAGACTAAAGGAGTTCAATATAAAGATCAAATGTTGGGTTTCTTCCAAACTTTTTGTTATCAATACTATGTCATCACCATAACATATCACCCTATTTTCCAAGAAGCACTACTGACTGGATTTTAATTCTAAGATATTCGCAGTACCCAGCGTATCTACTATGATTTTATTCATGAGTATATTAAACAATAGCGGGAAAAGAACACACCCTTGCTTTACCCCTTTCTTTGTCCTAAAAGATGGAGAAACCTTATTATTGATTTTAAAGGAGGCAAAAAGACTGCTATAATGTGTTTTAAAGATCCTTACAATATTAGAGTGAATGCCTTATTCGGTTAAAATCTTCCATAGCGCATCATGGTTAACATTATCAAAAGCACTTTTAAAGCCGATAAAAATAAAGTAAAAAGGTAATTTATACTTCTCACATTTCTGCATTATAATCTTTAAAGCTAATATTGGTTCGTTTATATTTCTACTTGGACGGCAGTGGCGTAGCTAGGAATTTTCCTTAGAGGGGGTCCATACATAAAAAAGCCTGGGGCTTCGCCCCCAGGCCCGCTTTAACGGGCCTTCGGCCCTTTTGCCCGACCTTCGGCCAGGTTTATCTTACAAATCATAACCATATCTTTGATAATATATTATAAATATATTTTTTAAATGCATCAATAATTTGTTTTATAATTTAGTAGGTTATTCTCAATGACTTTATAATAATACTATCCAGATAATTTCAATAGTAATAAAATATCCTTCCACAAACATCAAAACCAGAAAAATATAAATATTATTGGTATTTATTTGATATAAAGTCACCACTTATAAGTCTTTTGAACGTATAATCTAAAAATAAATTTTTGCTCTGGGAGAGGTCCATACCCGAAAACCACCCCCGTAGCTACGCCATTGTTGGACGGTTAGCACAAATGTATTTAGACAAAAGGTTCGGTGTTGAGGAAAGAATGCGATTTTTTAAAAGAACCATAAAAACTTTTGATGCAATCGTGAGAGCAATGGCTCTATAATCCTTGAATTTAGATGGATTTGGAATTTTCGGTAAGTTGCAAAAGATAGTCATATTCCAATCTTATGGCATCATCCCAGTAAACCATATCTTGTTAAACAAAAGCAGTAAAACCCGAGAGATAGCTAAGGGAGCTGCTTTTTTGAAGAAATTAAAATTAGGGTAGCCGATAAAATTTCGAAGGATAAACCTTTGGTAAAAGTTTCGAATAGTAAAAAATACAAAAGCTAAAATGGCGTCCAATATACTTTCTATCATCTTTTATTTGCTAAGAATTTAACTATTAATAATTTATATAAAAAGTTTTTAAATAAACACAATTGAATTTCATCTCTCTTTTTTTAAATGGAACCAAATTTCTTTTAAATTCAACATTAACTTCACTTTCATAATTCTTTTATCTATATATAAATCATTCATATATCTAAAATTTACTACTAAATATCAAAACATCTTAACCATTTTAATCAATATAAAATCCTTTCATTTTCTATTATTTCTAAATTCATAAAGATTTCAAGTATAAAATCAATTCCTAAATATCTAATTTTTATTTCATATAATTTAATTCTATTCATATTTTTTTATTTAAATTATACATCAAATCTTTTTCAAAACATATTGCATTTAAATTTCTCTTCCTCTCTTCCCTTTTTCCCTTCCATCTATTCCAATTTTTTTCTCACATTTATAATTTTGTACTTTTCATAAAAATATAATTCTTTTGCTTCATTATTATGGCTATGTATAGTGGTTTTCCAATGTATTGTATAACCCAGTTTTCTTATCTCAAAAAACACATGCACCAATATTATATATATGTATAATCTCAACATTAAATTAATAAGCATCATAAACATAAAAATAAACATATTTAATAATATTTTTCTAAATATAATGATAATTTCCCAAGTTCTATTTCCAAAATCAATATAAAAAATCATATGATAAATTCTAAAAGAACAAAGAATAATAATTGTTATCTAACTCTTATTCGAAGCCATTTTAAAAATATCTATATATGTCAATTACATATCAACAGATATAACATAAATTTCAAAAAGATTATCTTACATTTTTAATGATATATAAACGACTAGACAGTTGACCATTATTGCTCATCTAAATTATGCGATCAAATGCTCCATCAGCAGGGTAATATCTAAAATTACATAGCCACACAAATAATATATGCTGGTTAATTTTCAGTCATAATGACACTCAAGATGTAAACTCATATCAGAATTTAATATGTTAGATAAATTGATAAAATAAAAACCTAAAAATCTTTGGAAGAAATAATTAGAAAAATATTTTGAAGCTTTAAATTATTAACACGGCAAGGATGCCATATTAGAAATGAAACACTTTGTAACTATAAAATAAGGACCAGAGTGATATGACTAAAGCAATTAAGATTTTATATATTATTGTCGCACCACATTTAGTTGGTATATTATATGATAAAATAATAGTAGTTTGTAATAATATCAAAAATATATTATTAAAAATTTAACTCAAAACTGTTTTTCAAAGATGTAAAAAAATAGCTTTCCTAAACACGTAAAAAAAGAGAAGGAAAAATAGATATCTATTAAGATTACATCCATTGTGGGATGAATAACTAGATGTTTTATTTTTAATAATATTTTTAAATAAATAGATGGCGTTAAAAAATTCAATGCTAATTGTTACCTATATTTATTAGCAAAAGTATTTATTAAAATTTTAACTGTAATATATTCTATAACTGTCAGATATGTCTGTAAAAGTAGCATTTTACCTAATATTTTATAACCAATTTTATATAATAGAGGATTATCAACTATATGTCTGCTAATTTTTATAAAGAAATCTCTTATACTTATTTTGACCTTGAAAATATTTTTAGGAAGAGGCATGGTAATTAAATTTAAAATTGAATAATATAATTGATTCGTGATTTTGAACTCCGCTAATTACAATATTAAATTTGTTAATTAAGAAATAATTATTTTTATTTAATTAGGTTTATAAAATATTTTAAATAATAAAAATCAATTAAGCTTCAATTGTTAATGCTAAATTAATATTTAAGCATTATGAGTGATATTGATATTTTATTTTTAACACAGAATTTGATTGCAAGCTGGCATAATGAAAATTAGAATTGTAAAAGAAATCGTTCAGGGGGCTATCAAAAAATATATTTTTAGTTCAGAGGGGATATCAGTGAGCCTTTTTATTTCAGGGGGCTATTCAAAATTTTTAGGGGGCTATAGCCCTGAGCTCCCCCTAGTGACTCTACTGAACGGTTTAAATAAAAAGTCCAATTGTTCATAAATAGCTGTGAATTATCGATAAAACTGAACAAATAATTGAATAAACTGCTATACGATTAAAAAATTACACAAATCATTAATAAAGAAATAACAATTCATTAACTAAAATCTGCGCATTCCTTTTTAACATATCATTCTAAAAAACCAATATATTTTATTTCCATCTGTTAAATGATTGAGTAAATGTCATAAACAAACGGACATTTTAAGTTAATTTATAATATATATTTATATCAGCTGCTTGTTAAGAGAAAGCCTTTAAAATGTCGAATGATATTAATAATGGTTCATTCAAAATTGAAGCTACATCTAAGTAATTTATTAATATTTTAATATAATTATATAATCTTAAAGATATTGGATTGCCTCATTGTACAAATGGTGCCCAACATCTTTATATGCAATTGAAAAGGCAGAAAATAAAATACTTTCCTGTAAATGCGATAATTACTTATTTTTTATATCACATTATCAAAATTAGCTAGTTTATCTTTAACATTTTCAACATTAACAGTAAGACAAATTACAAAGGAGTGATAATTATTAGTAATTTTTATATACAATATTTATTTAGTTTTAATTTGTTGAAATAACACGAATTTACCAACTTAAGCTTAAATTAAACTAATTTAAATATTTTTGAGTTAATTTTTTTATTGTATTTTTATCAACCATTTGTTTATTTAGATTTAAAATGCAATAATGAAAGATATCAAATTAATATTGGACCAAATATAAATATATGGACACTATCTTGTGACCATAAAGATATTCAAAAAACTCAATCTACTAATGTTCAAAATGTGAATGAATTTGAAAATTTTTATGGAAAATCAAATGATGATGCAAACAATTGCCATAAGAATAATTCAAATAATGATATCTCTGATCCAACTCCATTGGTATTAATTCATGGCTTTGCTGCTGGCTTAGCCTTTTGGGTAAAAAATTTAGACAGTTTATCTATAAATAGAAAGGTTTATGCCTTTGATATTTTGGGTTTTGGCAAAAGTACCAGGGTTCAATTTCCATGTTGTCCAAAAGAAGCTGAAAATATATTTATTTCTTCTATTGAAAAATGGCGTTTAAACATGAAGATCACTACGATGATAATACTTGCTCATAGTTTTGGAGCTTTTTTAGCCTCTGCTTATGCCCTTAAAGTTATAATATTTTATTTATTAATATAATGTTTAATTTTATATTTATTTATTATTGATATTCAATAGTATAATTTATTACAATTTTTGCTTTAAATAATAAAAAAAATTCTTGAAAATTGAGATTAGATACCTACAAGGCCTACCCACCAGTTCAGCCTGTTAGTGAAAAATACATTTTCATTAAAATACCTAATTAAATATCATAATTAAAAAATAAAAAAAAATCAGGAGGTTGGAATATTTCATATTTATAATCATTTATCTTAGGGTTGCCATGTCTCCCTCCATCAGCAGGAGACTCCTGCAATTTTTTAGTTTACATGCAGACATCTCTCCCCCGCAAAACTACCACAATTGGAAATCTCCCGCAAAAATCTACCGCAATTTTTTAATTTCACCAGCAATTTTTTTTTAGTATTTTAACATTTTTAATATATAAATAATAATTTTGAGAGGCATTAATTGATTATTTTTATATTTTTAAAATAAATTTTAAATATTTATTTGAAAAACATGTCTAGTTTGTAAATTTCTTTCTATCCTGTTTTATTTATATCCAATAATAAATCTTTCATTCATATAAGTCAGTACAGGGGAGTGTATCTACATCGATTGCAATACAAAAATTTTCTCAAAAATAATAAATAATACAGATGCATCTACATTTGCGGAAATCGTATACATCTATCATGTAGTTCAACATTCATTGAGCTATATCATCACAATGTGGGTCGAATCTCTCATGATATTTAACGACTCCTATATAAGTGCAAACCTTACTTGTGGCAGAACAAAAATAAGCAAGGCTATCAAGTGTTTTAGTACCTGAATCCTAGAGGTCAATTCTAGACGATTTGAAAGATGGGCATCCATATGCAATTCCAACAGATGCATCTAATAAGGGAAATATTAAAACATTTCCCTTGTTGCTATTTCAACAAGAATAAAAACATTTCAAAAAAAACTGTTAAAATTTTTTCCTCGGATAGTGAAAAATCCAACAATATTGATAGCCACATAATGGTAAATATAGCTGATTTAGGGTTATCAATGATTTGCATGTCAGCTTTCTGCGCTGATAATGCCTCTGTAAATTTTGGCAAAAACCAAAGTTACCGAATTGAGGCAGCATAATAATGAATTAATACCAATTGGCTGTATATACTACATAATTATTGCAAGAAGGTAATGAATGTACTATCTGTGGATGTTGAAATAATTGTGATGAAATGTTTTAACGAAATTAGTTCATCAACTAAAAGAGTTAATGAATTAAAAGAGTTGGTGAAGTGGTCTGACTCGGAATGGTGTGAGTGTTGCAATATATATCTATCAGGTGGTTGTCATTAATATCTGCCATCGATAGAATTTTAAAATTTTACAAACTTAAAAAAACTTCTTAAATAGAGATTTTAAAAGCTGTCCTAATATTTTGAAAAATTTTTTCGAGTACGAAATGGCAGAAGCATATTTGGGATTCGTTTCTCATGTAGGAAATCTACTTCATGCAGTTAATATTCAGTTGCAATCAGAATATTCTATATTAAAAAAATTCACAAAATCATGCTTCAGCTCTGTTCATCTCTACAGATAATAAATTTTATGGCGCTATTGCTAAAAATATTATATTAAAATGTTCAAATAATACTATAATTAATACATTTTTAAATGAAGCAGATATTTTTATTAAGACAATTTTAGAATATTTAATCAAAATTTGATTTTAATAACTCTATTTACAAATGTAAAAATATTATGATCTTGGAACAGAAACCATAATTGATGGTTTTTATAATTTAATAAATATATTAAAAATACCGAAAGACATTGATGTCTTATTTGAGGAGATTGTAATTCTCTCTATTTTTTATGATTCGCCAGAAAACTTAAAGTTAGATGGTCTAAAAGCAGAAGAGAAATGGTTAGAATTTTTTCGTAATAACGATAAATCCCCATGCTTGGGAAAAATATGCTAGTATGTCTTCTACTTACCTTATTCTAATCTGATGAGGACTGCCTGAATAAAGGAGAGAAATCGGATTGCTTTAACAACATTAGAGGCCGAGCTAATGGTTAAACAAATATATAATATGTCATGCCAGGAATTTTATAAATATCTCAATAACGACGGTAAACATTTAGTTCTATTATTTAAATCTCAAATAAAATATAATTAAGTTTTAGCAATGGCGCTATAAAATTTATTGTCATTTATTAACTGTAAAGTTGAACACATCTTCAGCATAATTTTGTAAATCTTTATTAAAATTCTTCTGATTGCAACTACACATTAACAGCATGTATCATTCCTAAATATACCTCTGCCATTCATTATTGAAAAAAATTTTCAAAATGTTAGGACAGCTTTTATAATCTTTATAAGAAATATTTTTTTAAAGGTTTATAAAATTTTAAAATTCTATCGATGGCGGGTATTAGGAACATATCGCAACCAACATTGTGCTGACTCAATTCTGTAAATACACTCTGTTTATACCAAATTCACTGAGGCATTATCAGATCAGAAAGCTGACATGCAATTTATTGATAATCTCGAATCTGCTATATTTACCATTATATGGTTAGCTATGTCTTTGGATTTTTCACTATTTGAGGGGAAAAAATTTAATAGTTTTATTGAAACGACCTTAATTTTGTTGAAATAGCGGAGGATCAAGGGAGATATTTTACTATTTCCCTTATTAGATGCATCTGTTAGAATTGCATATGTAGGCCCATCTTTCAAATCGCCAAGAATTGGCCTCCTGGATTTAGGTCCTAAAATATTGATGATAGCCTTGCTCATTTTTATTCTACAAGTATAGTTTTCATTTATATTAGAGTCGTTAAATATTATGGGAAAAAGATTCTACCAACATTGTGATGATAAGTTTTTCTGTGAGTTGCACTACAAGATAAGTGATTACAATTGCCGCAACTGTAGTTGCATCTGTATTATTTCTTATTTTTGGAGTACCTTATTATGTATTTAAACGTGATACGTGATAATTAAGCCAATATCCCTATAAAGTTATACACACACACGGTAGATTCCCAATTGCGGTCGTTTTGTGGGACATTCGCATAAAATATATTTTTAATTGTAAAATTAAAATCGTTTTTTTATAAAATTTTATCTTGTTTACATTCTTTTATATTTAAAAAAGATCGTTGGTTTTTTTAAAATTAATATATTTTAATTAATCAAGATGTTATTTTATTTTGAAAAATAGTTACCGACTTTGTATTTATATAAACTAATTATAAAAAATAATAGGCGGATAATTAAGTCAATTCAAAATCCCAGCGAAGGCCCGCAAAAAATTTTTTTTAGCAATTTTTATATTCTATCGCAATTTTCATATTTCTCCCGCATAATACCAATTATCTTCCGCAATTTGCAAATTTGACCTGGCAACCCTGTTTATCTATCATAATTTGCAATAAATAGACAAGGTACCAATTATTACTGGGTCATTCCATGTCAAATCAATCACTTTTCGGCCGACCCCTTTCGATTTTGATGAAAAATCGTAGGCTGGTTATATATGTTCCCATTAGATTAGAAATAAAATTTTAGCGGATGAGCAACTATATTAGCGGAGATATTCGGGGTTAAAGGTCTAAAAAACGTCTTTTTTTGCTTTTTACTGATGTTAAATAACTAGTTTTTAATTTTAAACTAAATATGATCAAATATTGAATATAATATCAATAGCTAAGTTAATAATTTATGATTATGGCAAAAACATCAAAATTAATTTTTGATAAAATATGGGTCATCTTATGGTCAGTTGAAAACTTGAAATTAATATTTCGAAATGTATATGATCTCCGATTTTTAATTTTTTTAAGAAATATTATCCGCTTACTATTTTTTAATAATTTCTTCAACAATTAGCATGGCTGGATATTTATTTTAAAAAATATTGCGATTTTTATACTTTAAAAAAAATAGATGGCGCTATATATAATAGTTTTAATATGTTAAAATTCATTTTTTTATTGATTAAAAATATTTTAATGTATATATATCATACTAAATCGATTACAATGTCCATTATATATATTTATTTGTAATTCAGATCATAAATTTTTAAAATCTTCACAAATTTAGCCTAATTAAGATAGTTTATAAATTAATTAAATCTTACTTCATCTAAAGGAACACAAAGCTTGGCTAGCTTGTGAGATTTCTTCAGGAGATAATATATATGTTCGACCGGTGGGAGTAGAAGGATTGACCAGCGAAAGAATATGAGATTTAGGTAACACTAAAATATCATCTTTCAGGGGAAATTTAAATGAGGCTGAAGGTCCACAAGGGTGTAAAAATCGGATTTTTACTTCTTCATTTGTATCATATTTATCGATTATATATCCTAACCACCATTTATCATCATATACACATGTTACATATCCATTAATATTTTTAAATATAATTTTTTCATTTAAAAACGAAACTTGTTTTATATTATATTTTTTGGAATTAGAATATATTTTGGTTTTTAGTCTATTTTGATCAATGGGAATAATCCCGTGAATTTTTTGGGTCCCATGTATAAGCAGTGCATTAAATCTTTTACGAAGGGCTAATTCCCCTTCGATATATTCTTGATTGGATATATATTCAAATTGAATTCCATTAATATTTTCTTTAGCATAATTATATAATTCTAATGGGGTTAGGATTTGATTTTTATTTGGCCTTTGAAGACTAGCTCTGGCAACTAATCTTTTGACAGTTCCCCCGATACAGTCACATGCATTTTTGCCGTGAGCAGTGGCAAAGAAATGCCATTCGGCAGGAATATTAAAATCATATTTATGAAGGCATATGTTCAGAAAATTTTTGCGATTCTTGTATTGAGACGCGGCTCCATCTGAAAAATATATTATTTTTTCTGGTTTAGAATTAAATTTGGCTGTTAAGAAATTAAGAATTTTTTTTGGTAAAGGTGGACTGCACTAGTATTATGGTTTAATGATTCGGATATAATAACAAAATTTATATTTTTTAAATCTTCTCCAGATTTATAATATGCTACAAATGGATGTATAGTGGCCTGCACGTTGTTCCAATGAAATCCCTGAACTTCATCTTGTAAAATGAAGGAATAATTTTCAGAATAATCTAGAATTGTTAAAAATTCCCCATCTTTTAAATTTTCTTTGGAATTCTTCAAAAATAAACTTTGTTGTTTAGCTATAAACGAGTGACGCAGTAAAATTTGAACTTTTTCTAATAAATAATCGATGAAATCATCAACGGACTTTATAATAGTTTCAAGATTTGTTCTATCCACCGTGATCCATTGTTTAAACGTGACATATTCTATACGATTTCTTTGAAACAATTGGTATAATTGTCCCTTAAGAGATTCTATACCAGGGCATTGATCACAATTTGTTAAATAACATTTTGGCTGAGATGGATTACAAATAATTTGCGCCAATAGATAGTTGTAAGAATTTATACAGTAATCTTCTCCTGCTGTAATTTCAGCCATTACATTTGTCATTAATTTCACATTCTGATGAATAGCGCAGACACAAACAGTGTGTGTGCCACTAGCTCCAACTAAAATACAGTTTTTTGGTCTAAGTTCGGCAAATTTAGAGAATCCAATTGATATATTTGGGTATTCTTCCTTAAACATCTTGAATATTTCTTTAAGATTATTTAATATAAGTCTTTTTTGAACTGGTTCTTTCTCGCCTTTAACAGATACACAATCTTTTATTCCTGGCATGAGTCGGCTTATTTCATCAGAACTATAAAAATCCTTGACGAGTTTAAATGTTTTTTCGTTTAGTGTCTTTCCTGCCTTATGTTTTGGAAATGAAAGAATTCCACTTTCTTTTACCATCATTTTAGATTTTCTTGCCATGTATGATGTTACGTTGAATTCCTTTTGAATTTTATTTACACTCCATCCTTGAGGCAAAATTGTAAGAATTTGATATTGTTGATTTTTTGATAATTTATCAAAGTTATCCTTTAATATAATAAGAATTTCCTCTTTCATTGGACTATCAATCTCGGAATCAGATATTTCTAAAACCTTACTCTTTATTGCTTTTTCAATCTTTTGAATTTTATTCTTAGGATATTTTTTCTCCATTAAACGTTTTCTTTTAATTGGTGATTCTCCAATATTGTGTAATGTTTCATTAATCGATTCAAAGGCATCCTGATTATGGGTTATTGGGGATATAAATTCTTCGGGAAATGTGGACCAATTTTACTTAACTGGTATCGGCACGAATTACATATTTTTTGTTGAAGATATAAATGATTATTTATATTAAGCATCCATGGAAGAACTGATCTTAAATTTTTTTTAAAATTTTTATGATTAACTTTATTCAGTGGATTGCAACATTTTATCTTATCTTTTAAGGGTTTCATTTAAAAAAATTTATTTATTTTTAAACGACAAGTAAAAATATTTATATGTAAAAGATATGAATCGGTGTTTGTGAAAAAATATTAAAGAAATCAATTTGTATTTTTAGCAACTGTGATTTATCGATTAAATTCGCTAATTAATTTTGCTAATCAGTTTATTTTTAATAATTTTAAGAAAAGATAAAAACAGCTGACTTACTTTTATTAATTTTTTCAGTGTTAAACATATGCTCAAAATTCAAAGACTTTGATCAAAAATTTTATAGAGAATGCTCAAATTCATTTGATACCCAAAATTTTATAACTAGTTAATTTTTTGTTAATTATATCGCTTAAAATTTTTTTAAAAATCTTTGAAATTTTCTGGTTAATGACAATTTTATAACATTCTTGGTCTTGATGGGTATGACTTAGTCTGGAGGGGGGGGGGGTGGGGGGTAGGCCGGGTAATTATATGATTTTCGATTTTTCCCTTAATATTTCCTGCACTCCTTTAATCTTGCTTTTTTGTTCGCATGTTAGTCGGATTTTTTAATTATTTTTAATTTACATTGAAATATTAAAAAAATTATTAAAAATTTTTATCCTGCGAATATCTCAAGGGAATAAGGTTTACAGAGTTATATAATCTAATTTTATGATATATTATACATTAAAATATTTTTAATCAATAAAAAAATAAATTTTAACATATTAAAACTATTATATATAGCGCCATCTATTTTTTTTAAAGTATAAAAATCGTAATATTTTTTAAAATAAATATCCAGCCATGCTAATTGTTGAAGAAATTATTAAAAAAATAGTAAACGGATAATATTTCTTAAAAAAAATAAAAATCGGAGATCATATACATTTCGAAATATTAATTTCAAGTTTTCAACTGACCATAAGATGACCCATATTTTATAAAAAATTAATTTTGATGTTTTCGTCATAATCATAAATTATTAACTTAGCTATTGATATTAGATTCAATATTTGATCATATTTAGTTTTAAATTAAAAACTAATTATTTGACATCAGTAAAAAGCAAAAAAAGACGTTTTTTGGACCTTTAACCCCGATTATCTCGGCTAATATAGTTACTAATGCGCTAAAATTTTGTTTATAATCTAATGGGAACATATATAACCAGTCTACAACTTTTTATCGAAATTGAAAGGGGTCGGCCGAAAATCTTGATTTTTTTGCTCATTTGACATGGAATAACCCTACTGTAGTATATTTAAATTTAATGCATAACATTAAAATAGAGAATAAAGTTATTATTTTTTTGAAATATAGTTCAATTATCCTAATTGCATTTATAAAAAGACTGAATCCCAGGCTTAGATTTTAAAAATATCACCAGGACATGGACAGGGTCCTGCTTGCCCCCCCCCTCCAAAAAAAATAGGCCTTTAATTGGAATGGTTCAGAAAAACAATACCTCAATTTTTTTAAAAAATTTGAACATGTTACAATTTTTTAATCGTTTCTGTAGTTTTATTTAAAACAATTGCACTTTATTATTTAAACAGTTTTTTTTATATATTTGTGCAGTTAATTTTTTTAAAACTAGTTTTAGATTATTTGAAATTTTCTGTAAAAAGATTATTAAAGCACACGCATAAATATAAAAAAAAATTTATGATCTTTTACATTTTCTTTTGTTTTGTGTTTTTTATAGCTATTAGGGTTCTCACTTTTCTACCATATTCCTACTTTATCTTTTTAATAAAAATATTTGTGCTTACACTGATTTAAAAAAGATTATTAGATAAAGCTATTTAAAATTGTCTATATGGCTATTAGTCTTCTTGGTCATTTTTTACAACTATTCCTAATAGCTATATTTATTTTTGCTAGCTAATTGTTGGCTAAGATTTAGCTTATGCAGTTAAACTTAGTTGTTTTCGCACCTATAGTACATGTTTAAAAAATTTCAGACAATTTTACAATAAATGAAAATTAAAATCTTACTGAAAAATATATTCACATGGAGTTATTCTATCATTGGAAAAAGATTCCAGCAAAATTAGGTCTTTCAAAATTAAGAAACATGTGCCCTAAATGATTTAAGTTTTAAAAATTTTCAAAAAATCTATTACCTAATGCCATGTTTTTGCATCAGCATCTATTTATAGATCTTTAAAATAATGCTTGAATTACCATTTTTAATAAGGGGACTTATGAATGCTAGGAATAATTTAATAAGAAATATAAGTGAAACTTGGGGTAAAATGGCTCATGTATCTAAAAAATATAGCAATCAGGTTTTTGAATAAAATATTTTTATAGTTCTTATTATTATAAATTAATGAATATCCAAATTGGTCCTGTAATTGTATAATTATTTTTTAAATTATAGTCGAAGATATTTTTAAGTTAACTATATACATAACCCATTAAATTCTTTATGTATATATATATGCTTATACTTAACAAAACTAGTACCCAGACTCAATAAAGCACATAATTTTATGTGATCCATGGGGATTTCCAGAAAAACCTATAGATTCAAACAAAGTTACAAATTTACCTTTATGGGTAAAAATGATGACTAGTCTATTTCAACCTTTCAATCCTTTGGCTCTTTTAAGAATGGCAGGACCTTGGGGTATCACATTTTTACAATTTTTCCTGATATATTTTTTTATAAAAAGAATTAAATTTTATTTTTTTACAAATCAAATTAATTCATATTTAAAATTATTAATTGGTATAAAATAATATCCAAAATAAAATATTAAAATTTTTGTTTTTAAAATCGATTAGCTAGAATTTATTTACATGAAATAAATAATGGATAGTCACTTTTATAATTATTGTTAAAATTACAGAATGTGTTCTTATAGTATGCATATAACATCATTATTTAGCCTTTCATATTAATTTTTTTAAACCTTGAGTGGTTAAGTGGCGTCTGAGGCACAAAATAGATTTTATAATTGATTACAAAAAAACCTTTTGATATTTTGACCAGGTTGTTTCAGTAGCATCACATTTTACTTTAAGCTAAAAATTTTATTTTGAATGAGGTGCTCACAGACCCCATATTGGTATTGGCGATTTAGAAAAAATACAGTTTTAAATAAAATTTCTATTTAATTTCCTATATTTTCTCAAATCATTTTTTCCGTCAATGTGTTATTTTTTTACATGAAATCTTTTTTTGAGCGCTTCCTGCATGTGAAGAATAGATACCCTGTGATTTTAAGAAAATTCTATAAATTTTTGACAAGATTGTGCTATATAGCGCGTATATTTATTTGAATAGACAAGTATTTAGAATTTGTATTTTAAATATAAAAAAAAATAAAAAGTATCTTAAAATTATTCAAATTACGTATTTTAAATTTTTAAAATATACCCAGGTTGGGCCTGAAATTTTTTTTTTTAAAAACCCGGACCGGGCCTTAAAATTTTTTTAAAAAATTTATACAACACGAATTATTATATTCGTCAATTAGATATGGTTATACTTATAATGATTATATATAGTTATGATTAATATAATGTTGGGTGAAAGTTAACACTAGCTAACACTCATAGTATCTATTACACAATATAATTAAAGTTTTCCTGCCATGGAATAAATACACAAAGGATTAAATACTACTATTAATATAGTATATTTTCAAAATATTATTTACACAAATTTTTTATAGTATCAATTTGTAATATACTTATCTATTTAAAATAAAAAAATAAAATATGTAGTAGTGTTGTTAAACGGCTCGTTTGGAGCCGATTTTTAAAAACGGCTAACTTAATTTTTTATCCAGAAAAATATTACGCAAGCCTAAAAATTTTGCTCATAGAAGGAGCAAAGGTCTAGACATATAGTATCAAAATTTTGAGGCTTAGTCAATATTTTTCTGGCGAAAATATTGAGCTAGTCGTTTTAAAAAATCGGCTCAAAACGAGTCGTTTAACAACATTGGCTATTATGCTTGCTTATTAAATGATAATACTCGCTGAAAAATTAATAAAATACCAAATAGGTGAATCTTTTGTATATACCAGGTCCAATATAATTTTAAAAAATTCCGAGCCGGACCTAAAAAATTTTTTTTAAAAATCCGGGCCGGGCTGTGCAAATGGTACCTCTGCAGGTCTCTGATTCAAATACATATTTTAAAAATTTGTCCTACCCCGACTTTTGAAATAAGGGAGACCGAGGTGAGATAGAACAGAATGCACGTCAGATTATATCAATTGAAAAATATTTAATAAGTGAAATTTTGAGAACATAATACTTTTCTTCCATCCTAGATCTATTATACTCCTATGAATAATGACTGAATATATGTACTTGGGTCATCAATAGGTGGCTCAACCTTTATTCAAATATTCCTAGAAAAAAACCTTAATAATCTAAAATCAAATCAAAATATCCATTAACTCCTATCTACACGTCAGGTCTATTATATAGTTAAAAACTTCTTAGACATTCCCAAAATTCTTTACTGCTTCAGATCATCGGGGGCATTTCCAGTTCTAAAAATGACGAAATTAAAATCAAATATATATTATAATCTAAAATTTTGTCAAAATACATGGTTGCCAGTGTTGTCAAACGCTACTTTTGACTACTGCTATTTCTTCAAAAAAGTTGCACGCGATTAGTTACTTTATAATATAACTCGATACCTTTATATAAGATAGTTTTCGCTACCTTTAACACTTGATTTTTTAAAAATATTTTTTGTATATATGATCTATGTCCACTAATAAAAAATATTGGTAATATAAAATATATGCCCTATTTATTTTTGTTGCATTTCAATAACAATAGATCATTTCTATATTATAATTCCTAATCCTAAGTCTAGAGCGATGACCAGATAGTATAAGCTTTGCTTTACTAAATAATCTCTTAGCAATAGCACTAGACTATGTCTGGTTCGTTTTATTTCAGAGAATTCTATTTACCAGTATAGCTTCCTTTAAACACACTAGAAATAAACTATTTAGATTTATCAGGCATCATTTTTATAGTAATAAAACATTAATGGTAAGCGGGAAAAAAATCCCCGGAAATTAATTCCCTGGAAAAAAAATCCCCGGAAAATAAATTCCCGGAAATTAATTCCCCGGAAAAAAAACACCCGGAAAATAATTCCCAGGTAAATAATTCTCCGGAAAAAAAAATCCCCGGAATAAAATTCCCCTGGAAAATAATTCCCCGGAAAAAATTTCCCCACTATACATTGAATTGCTAATGCATTGCTAAACTGCATTGCTAAAAGGCAATCAATCATTTTCAATTATAAATCAATCAAAAATTTATTACGTATATTTTTTTAATGATAATTTTTTTAACTTTTTTTAAAATATATTTAAATCATTTTTTTATTATAAATGAAGAATACTGATTAAATGATATAGTATATAATTTTATTTTTATTTAATATTATTAATAAGAAATTTATTTTTCTAGCTTATTAAAACAAATATACATTTTATTCAATTTTAAAAATTAACAAATATATATCCGTAAGAGGGCGTTATATGTTTTAATATGTATCATTTTAGGAAACGGAATGATGATTGGATAACACTTTTTTTTATATTTGGGTATATATACATATGAAAAACCTAAAAATTAAAAAATTTTTTAGGTTTCTTTGATGTTTAATGAGTAGGTTTAGAATAGTAAAACAATGGAAATTTTTTAAAGTAAATATTGCTGGCGTTATTTATCAAAATCTCTTCATTTTTGTTTTATACGTGTATATTTACGTGCTAAGCATTATTCTAAAAAATATTTTGAAAATAATTTGATTTGACCGATTGCCGAGTTCAAAACCGACCACTTATTAAATATTTGATTGATCAAATTTGCTATTAAGATAAATTGAAAAATGTTGATTTTTGTTTTATTTATCTATAAATACGTATAAAACATAATTCCAAAAAATATTTTAAAAATATCGTGATTTGACCCGAAAACCGACCGAATGACCAAATACTGCATTGCTGGCGTTATCCATGGAAAAATCTTCATTTTTGTATTATACGCGTATATATATACGTGCTAAGCATTATCCTAAAAAATATTTTGAAAATAATTTGATTTGACTGATTGCCGAGCTCAAAACCCCACTTACTAAATATTCGATTGATAAAATTTACTAGTAATATGATTCGAAAAATGTTCATTTTTTGTTTTATATATCTATAATTACGAGTAAAACATATACGAGTCGGTTATCCGCCAAACCACGATATTTTTAAAATATTTTTTGGGATTATATTATATATGTATTTATAGATATATAAAACAAAAATGAACAATTTTCAAATTATATTACTAGTAAATTTGAATCTAGGAAAATAATTCCCCGGAAAAAAAATCCCGTGACCCGGATCTGCTCTGCAGTATTTAATTAAATAGAAATGTTTTTTAAAGTCAAATTTCTTCGAGGATTTGAGATTTTAAATAATAAAACGAAAGTTAAATAAATCTAGTTCACCTTTACACACTTTCATCAACTTTTAGGTATTTATTGAAAAATTATTTTTACACAAATTTTAATCATTTTTTTAGAAATATGATAAAAGGCTTTTCACAGTTTACTGACTCTTAAATAGCGCCCCTTTTTGTTTTTACAAGGATAAGCAATTAAATAATATAATTTTATAAATTTTGTGGCTAAATAGGAAATTAGCAATTCAATCTGATACCCTCTATTTGATAAATATTATTTTACTGAAGTATTTACCTACTTTAAGAATTTAACTGACTGAATACAAAATCACTATAAAACTTGCAAAATTATATTTTTTACTGCCCAATTTTAATTAAATACTGCCAAAAGTAATGAAAAATGCTGACCACTTTAATCAAAATACATCCAGAGGTGATTATCAGCAGTGAGTATTATATTTTTCTAATCTAACAATTATTATTTTGCTTATGAATTTTTTTCAAAAGTTACAGAAAAGAAATAATTATAATTTTATTAAATGATATATAGAATAATAAATTATATTATTCAAAAGAAACAATTCTAGAACGTATATGTTCTCCAATTGAAGAGAGAAAATTGGGCAAGTCCCTTCTCTCTTCTAAATAATCAATGCATAAATTTTTTAAAATAGTTTGTTTCGTTGCATAAATACGATTTTTTTTGGGAGTGTATGTCCCAATATTCCATTGGCCGATTTTTCCCATATCAACCGCTATTTCCATCCTTATTTTTTCAAGTAGTTCCCATATCTTCGGTTTTTTGTTGCCTACAATATGCTTAAATCGGTTATTCCATCCTTCACATACATTGTTTGTTCGATTTTCCCCAGCAATCGTAACATTGAACACATTCCATGTTTCTGGTGGGAACAATGGCTCTACTTGCCTTTGAGAGTTTTTCCCATGTCTCAATTCTCCATTCACATAATTTTTATCAAAATAAAACAATAATTCTTTGTTTTCATCCGATACAATGGTTTTTAAATACTCCATACCTCGTTTGACATCGTGTATAGGTAAGAATGCTAATCCATCGATCATAGCTGCAAATAAGCATAACATTGGATCATTCCGATATGATGATTCTAACCCCAATTCCTGAATCTTTCTATGAGTTGATTGAGTTAGATGATAAAAACATCCTTGGATGTTGATATCTCTACCTAAAAGTTGAAAAAATATAGATTAAAATTATTGTATAGGTTTTATTTAATATTTATGTCTTTATCAATTTTTATTAATTGTACTGTGTGACAAGAAAAATGGGAGAAAAAATAAATAAAAACAAGTTTTGGTGCAGAATTTGACATTGAGTTCGAATTCGTTTTCTAAGTTTTCCCTTCACGTCAAGTTTTAAAAATATTATCGTATAAAGGCAACTTTTCGAAATCTCAAAAATGGTAATACGGATATATTTTAAAAAGTATCAAATGAAAATCCCTGAAAATTGGTGATAGTGTTAGATTTATATTTCCTTATAAATTTATTAATTTTTATAATTTTTTATCGATTGCTTTTTGAGAAAAATGGTAAAGAATTTCGTTTTGGGGGGTCTTAAGTTTTCAATTTAAATTCCCGGCAAGAATCGTATAAATATGTTGGCGGACTACTGCTGGAGTATCTTTTTTGAAAATAAATCATCAACTTCATATTCGCGGAAATATATTTAGATTTACCATTAAATGTTTTTAAATTCGATAAATTTTATGTTATTGTTTAATTTGTTTTAAATTCAATAAATTTATTGTATATTACAAGTTAAATCCTATATAATAATGAAGGAGGGGGTGAGACAACGGACCGATAAAAGGTTTATTAAAAGTAAAATATGAGATAGGTTAGCTTAGCATAATATATTTATTTAAATATGAGAAATGTAACTATTTCATTTAAAATAAATTGTTTGGGAATCGTACCTTGTGCAGTGTAGCGAAGAGAACGAAAGCTACAATAAATATATTAAATGTAAGCTATATTAAAAAAGAATCTAGAAAAATAATACCCCGGAAAAAAAATCTCCGTTTTTAAGATAATTAAAATTACAAAATTAGGAGAAAAAATTCCCTATAAATAAATCAACGAAATAATAATTCTCAAATAAAATATTTAAAAATTTTGATAAAATTAATTCTGAAGAATTATTAGGATTATGTTTTATACGTATTTATAGATATATAAAACGAAAATCAACATTTTTCAAATTATATTCCTAATAAATTTGGTCAATCGAATATTTAGTGAGTGATCGGTTTTGAGCTCGGCAATCGGTCAAATCAAATTATTTTCAAAATATTTTTTAGAATAATGCTTAGCACGTAAATATACACGTATAAAACAAAAATGAAGAGATTTTGATAAATAACGCCAGCAATATTTACTTTAAAAAATTTCCATTGTTTTACTATTCTAAACCTACTCATTAAACATCAAAGAAACCTAAAAAAATTTTTTAATTTTTAGGTTTTTCATATGTATATATACCCAAATATAAAAAAAAGTGCTATCCAATCATCATTCCGTTTCCTAAAATGATACATATTAAAACATATAACGCCCTCTTACGGATATATATTTGTTAATTTTTAAAATTGAATAAAATGTATATTTGTTTTAATAAGCTAGAAAAATAAATTTCTTATTAATAATATTAAATAAAAATAAAATTATATACTATATCATTTAATCAGTATTCTTCATTTATAATAAAAAAATGATTTAAATATATTTTAAAAAAAGTTTAAAAAATTATCATTAAAAAAATATACGTAATAAATTTTTGATTGATTTATAATTGATAATGATTGATTGCCTTTTAGCAATGCAGTTTAGCAATGCATTAGCAATTCAATGTATAGTGGGGAAATTTTTTCCGGGGAATTATTTTCCAGGGGAATTTTATTCCGGGGATTTTTTTTCCGGAGAATTATTTACCTGGGAATTATTTTCTGGGGAATTTTTTTCCGGGGAATTAATTTCCGGGGATTTTTTTTCCGGGGAATTATTTTCCTGGATACAACATTAATAACAATACAGTAAATAAATGATCAAATTCATTGAACTTCTTATTAAGAGCTTTATAATATAAATCTTTATAAAAGATAACCTTGTTAAGCATACTAGGCTTATTATCAAAATTAAAAACCATTTCATATTTTTTTTTCTAAAAACACTTAACATTGTTTTTAATAAAATAAATTTTATAAAAATATTTATATAAAAAAAATTTTCTTTTACCTTTGAATTGGTAAATCACAATTACCAGGGATATGTATCCTGGGTTATGTACCAAATACATAATTGTAAATTATACTATGCCATCATTTAGCGATGAATTACGCATCGGTAAAGCGACATCTCTGTATTACACGCATAACTGTAAACGAGACTTTACTCATTAAATTTTCTAGAGAGGATATACATATCATTATACTTGGGCGTTTGGTAGTCCTTGTAAAAAATGCTAATAAATATATAGTTATAAATTATACAGGGTGCAATCGCTCGTAATGTCCAATTTTTTAAAATAAATTTAACAACGCTCGATTTTTGGCTTGCTATCTTTTAACCTTATGTGCTCGAACGATCTCGTATGACTTTATCTATGACTGAAATCTAACATTGTTATTTATAATAAGTCTTTTTTTTCTCTTCTCAATTTACATTTTTCTAATTAGATATTGATAATAGTCAATAAAATTATGGCATATCAATATGTCGTGGTTTGTGTATGTTAAAAACTTAAAATATTTATTATCTGACTACCGTTACAGGTATTATTCGATCATTTTAGTCAATGCCTCGAAGTCTTAAGCTTTGACAAAATCTATTCCATTCGGCTTTCCTACTTTTAATTTGTTTTAATTTTTCCATATTTTTATATAAATTATAAATAGGTTAGGTATTTTAAACAAGCTGTAAAATATTTTTTTCCAATAAAATCAGGTATACATTTTAAAAAATGCCCTCAAAAGATTTTTTAATTTAAAAGCTAAAATATACATATTTTGCATATTATTTTTCAAATTATTTTTTTAAAAATTAAATATTCAAAATTAAACTTTTACTGATGGTTAAGATTAAAAAATAATTTTATGATTATTTTTTTTGCCTATTTCAGTTTAACAATATGCGTTTAATAGCCAGTAGCAATTTTTCAGTTATTTGGCCATCTTTACGAAAAATCTGCTAAAAATTTTATTTATCATCGCTTAAATTTTTATATCTATGATTAATTTTAGGTTAAACTTAATAAGTGCCTAAAATATCAAAACTTAATATAAAATTTCCTTTAAATATAACAGTTTAAAAATTGGGGCGAAATATGTTCCATCCAGCCACTCACTTATTTTTTTTTCCATCTCACCACTCAAGATTTACATTTTTTATTTGACCCATTTCGTTAGAATAAAATGTGGAATTTATGGTATTAAGGGCAGAATTCCAATATGATAATTCTTCGGGCAAAAATAATTTCTTTATTCAATTTAAAATTAAATCCAAAACTTTCGTATAAAAAATATAATTATTTTATTCAATTTACAATTAAATCTAAAACTTTTGTATAAAAAATATAATTATTTTATTCAATTTAAAATTAAATCCAAAACTTTTTATCAATAATCAAAAATATATTTACCCTCCTTTTTCCTTCAAACATAATAAACAAAAAACGTTATTCATTTTTAAAAAAATACACAACACTCTCCAACATCAAACACCATATCTCTCTATCATTATACTCTTAATTACAACCCCCAAATAACATTTAAGAGTTATTTAATATAAGGTGATGTAATTTAATAAATATTATATATTTTATCTCTGATTTTATTAGTATTATAATATAACATTGTACATAAAAGGGCCTCTCCTAGTTGAAAAAACAAGACCTGATTTACAAAAAAAATTTACAAATATATTGGGAGATGATGATACCTCGATCTTTGAATATGTTTATCATTGCAATGCTCAAAATCCAACGTAAAAATACTATTTCTATTAAAATGTTAATTATGTGATAGTGGTGAATCAGCTTTTTCGTCAATGACTATCCCCTGGGGCTGGGCCAAATATCCAATGATCAGGAGAATTCCCCAATTAAAAAAAGAGTTGCCAATGACTATTATATATGGATCAAGATCATGGATTGATAGTGGAATCGGATTTCAAGTTAAATACCTTAGGCCAGATTCATATGTTGACGTCAAAGTAAAATGACTTTATTTATATTTTATTGAAAATTTTTAAAATTGGGCATGTGAGTAATTGTATCAGCTTATTTTATTTTTCGCCGAATAAAAAGTTCTTCACGTTGCTCAAGTTTGTAGTGACTAATAGGATTAAAAAATATAGTTTTGAAGGAAATAATATTTTAATCAGAGTTTGAAAGTCGGTCAATTAACCGGAGGAGCATTTGACTTTGTCAAATACAGGCCATTACTTTAAAAAATCGGAAGTAAAAAAATTAAAAAAATATATTTGAAAAGAGAAAAAAAACGTTATAAATACATGTCATCACAATGCTACTTATAATCATAAATTTTCAGAAGAGCGGCATGTTTAATGACAAATTATGTGGATAGCAGTAACTTCTATATGAAACATTCAGATTCCTGTCTCATGCTAGTGGAATGGGCTTTGTCCGCCATGCCTATTAAAAGAAGTGACATTTTACAAACATTCCTACTTTTTCTCCAGAAAGAAATTGGTCTAATTGGGTTAACATTCTTACTAAAACAGAAATAATTGAAGTCTCTACAATAGGAAAATTGATTAAAAAATATTATAGTAAATAATAATATATAATATGAATTTGAACACTCTGCCACGGATAGCGAAACATTAGTTATTGAAAGACAAGAAATTTAAAATATAATATAAAATTAATATTATTTTTTCATTTTACTAATATATTCAAAATAAAGTTTATATTGGCTTAAAAACATTTATTTGAATATTTTATATTGTCTTAAAAACCTTTATTTGAATTTGACCTCTAATATCGGTCAATTGACCGAATTGTATTTGACCATCAAATATACAACCCTGATTTTAACCTTGTTATTTTGTTTTCAATATCTTATTATCCTAATTTAATACAATATGAGCCAAAAAACCTGATTATTACTATATTACAGGGTAATATTCTCCTTTTTTATTCGAAAATGAGTTGAGGCTAAACCAAAAAACCTCCAGAAAATATTTATACCCTCTCCTGTCTAAGGGGAGTTAGAACCATTTTGAGCCTGGGCTAAAAAGGTTTTGAATATTTTTTAAAAAGTAGTTCCGGTTCCCTAAAAATTTTGAAAAATGGGTTCCGGTTCCAAACTGAAAGTAAAGAACACCCTCTGAAATGAATCCCACAACATTTTAATAAATTTTAAAGGGCTTTGATTCCGGTTCCTGGTCACATAATAATTATGTACTTTTTCAAATAAGTTCATTTACTTAAAATATAAAAATATGAGGATATAAAAAACACCAATTTTGACATTTTCATCCTTCAAACAGTGATTCTAATTTGTTATGGGACGCAATGACCCCACTGTGATATTATCGGAAAATAGTCTACATATAATTTAATAAAAGAATATTTATAAAAATAATGCTTGATTTTCCATTAGTGCATTTTTTAAAATTTATTTTACGTTTCAAAAGTGGGCCGGCATTGCAGATCTCTAATATGGCCATTTAAAAGAAAAATTGATTATCATTAACTCATTGCTAAATGGAACCGTGGTTAGAAAATAATTACTTTGATGGATGGCAATTAGTAGCTTGCTTGCTGCAAAAAGTTTCATTATGATCATCACTTATATTTCTTAAATGGGCGGAGACATTTCCATTAGATACTTGAACATATAAATTTTGGTTTTTAGTGTATTTGGAATATTGGCTTTTTTTAAAATTATTATGTTATTATACCCTAAGGAGCAATCTTTGGAATATTAACAAGGTAGAATTTTATATAAAAGAACAGTTAATGCATCGTCGGTCTAGAATTGGACTGTTCGACTTGCAAAATTGCTTAAATCGGGAAAGTCAATTTTAAAGTTTAAATTCAAATATAGGCAAAATTTTGTTAGCATAAAAAGTCTGCTTAAAATATTTATGAGCAATATATTTGATGAATTTAAAATGTAAATGAAGCAAATTTCACATTGTCATATTTTTTTGTTCAAAATACTCCATTTGATTTTTTTAAATTTTGTTTATTAAATAAATTAAAGTTATAACTATAAATTATCAAAATATAATAGTATATAAGGTAAATTTATATTTTATACTATTATATTCATACAAATTACTAAAAATGAATATCGCTAATTTTTACCACGTACTCTATCAGCTTTTGGCAAAAACTTTAACATTGAGTTAATATCATTTTTAGTTTCATAGATTTTGCCAGTCACTTTGGGATGAATTTAATGTGAGCAAAATTAGCTTGAACTAATTCTTGATTTAAATTTGGCCTTCGCATTTGTGAATCTGCTGAAATAAATGATTTAATATGTTATTTGCTTTGAATGATAGTTTATTGCAAATAGAATCGTTCTGACTTGAATATTTTAATTTTGTAAAAGGAATATGATTAAATTTATAAAATTGAAAATTATCATTCAAAACTATACAAGTAGGAATACTGTTTATAATTTAGATAATCATATTTTATACTCTTGCATGGAGTTTGAACAATAAATTTACCATAGAAAAAACCCTTTCCTTCATCACCTAAACCAGAGTTGTACAAAAGATCTTCTTTGAAGATTTTTGAGCAAGATCTTTGAAGATCGTAAAATTTGAAGATCTTTTATTTTTAAAAAATTTTGTATAACGATCTTCAAAGATCTTCATGATATTTATTTTTTTTACCCCTTTATTAAAAGCCCAGATGTTTTTCAATTTTCATCAAGGCAGGAGGAGAGGTATAAAACATAAAGGAAATATTATATTAATAAAATTGAAAAACATCTGGTCTTTTAATAAAGGGGTAAAAAAATAAATATCATGAAGATCGTTACACAAAATTTTTAAAAAATAAAAGATCTTCAAATTTTAGATCTTTTTATTTTGAGCAAATGTACAACTCTGACCTAAACTTCAAAAAAGCATCATTAATTATTTCCCTCTCATCTGCATTAACTTTTTGATGACATAAAAATCTACATTTTTCAGAATGTTGAATATTAATCACCCTTGCTCTTTTTAAATCACCTTTAATATTAATATATTTATTATTAACCCCTTTACCTTACTCTTTCATATTTTTTTTCTTCTAGAAGATGACGGACTGTATAAAATATAATAAAAAATTACTATTAACCAGGGTTGGCGAGTCGGTCAATTGACCGATCAAATACTCTAAAAAATCTGGGAAAAAAAAGTTGAAAATATGTTTGGAAAAAGAAAACACGTTATAAATAGATCTGATCATAATGGCGCTTATTTATTGGGTCCCCAGTATCAAGGGGAGCATCTTATTAGTGACGAATTTAATGAAATGTGATATAATACAAGAATTAGGCATTTTGCAAGGTGATGGTCAAAATATTTAAAGTTGATATAAATTTCTGAAGTAAAATCGGCATGTTTAATAGGAAATTATGTAAAAAGCAGTGACTTTCATTAGAAACAATCAGATTCTGGCCTTGGAATGATCTTTGCTCACCATGCCTATGAATAGTGGAATTTTACTAACAATATCCATCTCTTCTTCAGAAGAAATTGGTCGATTTAGACTAACATTCATACTAAAACAGAAATCGATTGAAGATCTCGACAATAGGGAAATTGATAATGATAATATTGAATATGAATCAGAATAAGACTCAAAGAGCGAAACATTAGTTATTGAATGACAATGAATTTAAAAAATATAAAATTAATATTGATTCATTTTACCATTATATACAAAATAAAGTTAAAATTGTCTTAAAAATTTGAGTTTAACCGGCTAAATATCGGTCAATTGACCGAATCGTATGTAACCGATTAAATACACAACTCTGCTATTAACATTATGAAAAATGCTGAAAATTAGATTAGTTATTTAAATCATAATTAAGAAAATGGCTTTAGTACTTAATATAAAAATAAATTTATATGCTACAATAATTGACACGAATCATTTATATTCTGCATTTTTCAATAGTTTAGATTAATTCATATTGATTGATTAATAAAAATTTAGGGATGATATATTAAATTAAATTCTTTTAAAATATGTAATATTATTATATTACTTGATATCCATAAATATGATATATGAAATCAGTGCTCATAGCCAAAAAATAAATATTTCCTAGTTTTTTTAATAAATATATATTATAAAAATTTGCTCCTAACTCAAAAATATATAGTGAAGCATCTCAATTCCAGCTGACAGCATGTTAAAAGTAACGAAATATTTCATAAAACGTAGCGCAAAATCAATACATAGTTTTACGCTAGTCAGGAGAACCTCAGGTTTTGGCTAGCCGTACATAGTCGGATTTCGAATTTAGCTAAATAGGTAGAAGTAAGTCACCAAAAGAAAATTCCAATCTTTCGGGTATGGAGGTGCTCCTAATACCTATTAGGTTTACTATTGCTCTCCCATGGTTAGTGTTGTCAAAACCTCGATTTCACCGATTTTTAAAAACGGCGAAATTAAGATTTAAGCCAAAAATATTGCCTAAGCTTCTAGATTTCGCGCATATAGATGACAAAAAGATTTGGCCCTAATTTGACAAAACGTAGAAGTTTAGGTAATATTTTTGGCGAAATGATTTAATATTAGTTAAATCTAAATTTTATAATTAATTCTGAAACATGGTCATCACAGCTAGTAGAGGTTGGGGCAATGTCTTTATTCATGGAAGAGAAACAGAAGATTTTCAATCATGACCTCTTTAATTCACCCTTTTTAAAAATCGAATAAGAACATTCATATATAACTAGTCAACAGTATTTAATAATTTATTCACCGATGATTTTTGTATTGTAAATACCTTGCTTATTAATTTTACATTAAAATTCTTCTATTGCGACATACCAATAAACGACATAATTTTAAAAAAAATTAATTATTTTTGTCGTTAATTACCATTTCTAAAATTGATAAAAAAATTAGAAAATCGCTCTAAATTTTTTCCAGCATTGTATTTAAATACAATGCATGTAAATTGAAATGATTTAATTTAAAATGCTGCACAAATTTATGTAAATAGATCATTTCTTACTTCCTTATGTGGACCTCTTGCAACTTTTTTATATATATCTTGTATGAACTGATCTTTTTTTTGTACCAAGATTCCTCAAATGATTTACAAAGTATCTGCTACGAAAATTGATAGTGCTACATAATTCCTACTCTATAATAAACATGAATTAATAAACATACTGTCCAATATATAAAGACTATGCAATGATACCATTTGGATGATCTAATGTGTATACAGCAGTCAACGAGTTCATTAAATCTACACTTATATTTTTATTATAAACGTTAATTGTAGCTGGGGAATTTTGACTTCCATGTTTTTTAATGTACTTATGGAATCAATGCCTGTTGATCTTGAAGCAAAAACTTGCTCATCTTATGAGTCACTTAGAATAGAATCATAACCTTCCTCAGGAATACAATAAATTTTGACTGTAAAAGATTCAAATTTCAGATAGACAGCAAATAATAAAACATCAAAAAAAATAGGAATTGTGAATCTTGGTTTATATACGTTAAAAATGTAAGACTTATCAAAGAATATGTGAATATATTTTTATATAAAATGTTTCTTTTATCTTTATTCAGTAGAATTATTAACTTATTTTTCCTAAAAAAAAAAGGGTTAATGATATATAAAATAGCAATTTTCTAAAACACATCTAATTTTTTAACAATAACACAATATTTTTTAAAATGCAATAAAATTCATTTATATATATATATTAAAGGGGAGAATCACGCGGCCACATCCGATTCACTATATACATCCCTTTTTAATATTTTAAAAATAAATGTTAATATATAAAAATCAGCTTGATCCTAAAAAATAATTTTAAAATGAGTAAGCAGACTTCTACTAAGTGTTGCGAAGGATCTTTGCCATGTCAAAGAATACGGTTATTAAATGGTCATGAATCATAGTTTTTTCTAGAAATGAAAAACCGTTATTTTCACTTTTTGGGGAAAAATTTAATATCTTATTGAAAATTTTTTGATGCCGGTATCGGCAAAGACAAAAATTATATATATTATGTATCTCATGAAAACTATATTTTAGATTATCTCTGGAGCTGGCCATCATGTTTATGCAGATAAAGAAAAAGAATTCAATCACATTATCAATAGCATATGTAAAAAAATAGACGCTAATCAGTTATTAAAATAAATGCAAAGTAAGAATGACAATATTCAGTATTAGTGTATATTTCTATCATATATGATATATAAAAATGTAATGTATTTTTAAATAATTTAATAAAGTGTAAAAAAATATTTGAAATAGGTATTCTAATGCAAAACAAAACCACCACCAGAGTATTCGGATTGCTAAAATATTATGTTTATTAAATATTTTGTAAATATAATATACCTGTGGCAACTGAACAAAAGCAAGCCAATCTGAAGGATGAGTTGGGAGTAAACCCATTGAAGCACATTTATATAAGGCTAATAATATATTTCCTATGTTGCCCAAAAAATAAATAATCTTTTGTATTCCTGCTTGATTTCCCTCGATCATATTAAATGCTATATTAAAATCATGTCGAAAAATATAATTTAAAAAGTAAATATTTGATTTGACCATATTTGCTTAGCATTTTAAATATTTCAGAATCCTGAATGGCCTGGAGTAAGCTATTAGAATTAAAAATACAAACCTGAGCTGGGCTTAAAAGCTTTTTTTTACAGAATTTCTTTTAGCAAATTTAATTATATTAATTAACCAGTTAGAAAATCATAATAAATCTTCGAAACGATAAATAAAATACAACTAAATATCAAATAAAATGACGAAATTATAAATCCAGGCCAAGCTATGAAAATTTTAAAAATATGGATTGGGATTGAAAATGGTAAAATTTTTGAAGTATGTTATAGGTCAAAAAATATGAGAATCTGCATTTATGAAATATCAAAAAGAAAATGGCTTAATATGTGTCTAAATATTTTTTAATTTTGAGCTCTGCTATGATATTTTGAAAAAATTTCCGTTAATATTAATGTATATGGCTAAAAAACGTTTCATTCGTTTTTGTAAGGAATTTTTATAAAGAATATATGAACTTAATATCTACAATTTTTTACAATCCGATCAGGTCACTTTTTAGAAAATTAAGATAACTCAAAACCTTAAAATGAATTCCCAAAAGACAGATGCCCACCCCCTAGTGATTTAAAATAGTATCAGCACAATCACATGCATGCTGAATGTGAATATGACTTTCACCATATGAATATCATTATGACAGATTTGTGAGCAAGTTTTATACATATTTCCAATTTAATGATAAATGTTAATAGGTCTCCTCTCAGTCAATGGAATTCTTTTCCATATATAAAAAAGAGACTCATAAGTCACAGGTCTGCAAACGATAACCAATTAAAAAAACATGCAGTTAATATAATTAAAAAAAGAATGACAAATACGTATTTCCCTTTTTACACATTAAAAAATTACCTCATTTTTATGCAATATATATTTATAACTTTCTAAATAGCTTATTATAAATGTATATAATGTAATAATAATTCGATATAAACTATTTAAAAAAATAAATAAATAAATTTCAAAAATAGAATTTGCAACGAATTCTTGCCTCTATTTTTTGCTCATTTTAGTGTTTCCTACTATCATTTTAGAGTAATAGTATGCCCCTGCCACAAGTTTTAGGACTACAGTACTGATATTAAGTGATGGAATCATGTGAACACCTCTGATTCATTATATATTGTCTCTCTTGGCTGGAACCACCAAGTTGGTTTCAGAAAAAATTGAACACAAATTATCTAATTGGCAAGCCATTCTTTATTGACTAGGCCACATACACTTTCCAAAAATTAGGATTTTTTAAATATATATTATAAGTAGATGTAGTAGTCTTGATCCAAAGTAAAAAATAAATAAAATGCCAATTTGTTCAACACTGCCTTTGGTTGGTACAAACATAAACCCAATTATGAACCAGAACTAAACCTGATCAAAAAGTTCTTATGGTTTAAAGCCCTGGTTATAGTCTGCTATAAATACAGTGCATTGCATGGATCAATCCAAACCTAAATTGACATTGCCTTTGAACCTTGATTTTAAAATTTATTTTGAACTCAACTCAACCTCAACAAATTTTTTTTCCCAAATATTTTCATAAATATTTATTTCAATACTAACAAAAATTTTATTTTACTCTAGCACTTAGAATTTTCTGCTTTCATAAAAAAATTATATTTTGTAACAGTTCAATATAAAAAATTCAGATTGGTCTTATTTTCTCAAAAAAAATTTAAAACAGACTTGAATTATTGAATAATATTACTTAGTTTGAATTGAATAAAACAGTTGAACCTGAAAATTAAATTAGATGCAGGGCTCTATTAAATATTAAATTATAGAAAAGATATATGCATTTATCTAAATTTTTTATTGTTCTTTAAATTTATAAGATTTATTTCCTTCAGTGAATTTGTGCAAGGGGAATGGGGGGGGGGGGGGTATAAACATAAATATTACTTGCTTTAATACCAAACAATGCTTTGATTGGACCCATAAATAACATACCAACAACCATTATAGGAAAAAGGCTGATTGAATTACCAGACATGTACATTATAAACATATTCATAGGAATTTTTTTCACAGAACCAAGTGCTATTTCCCATGATCTCTAAATTTATTTTAAATTTTATTTAATAAAATGTTATACCTTGACAATAAGTGCTGGATCAGCATCATTTGTAGCAATTTCTTGAATTAGATTATAAGATGAATTAAATCCATTAGGAGAAGGTATGTCAGCAATAGTTAAATTCTGATTTAAAACTGATGATATTTTGTCTGAAGGTTTTATATTTCTATAAAAGCATATTTAGAATTTGTTTGATAATATTACCTTAGATCGATATGCCATTTGTGTCGTTTAATTAATCGATTTGTAGTCATATCATATGTACTAACACTATATAATAAAAGATAACATAATCCTGTCAATTAGCCAATAATTAATTAACAGAAAATCATCTTATGATATATTATGTTTCATATTTTTACCCAAAGAATATGCAGAAATAGTAATTTCATTTTAATATAAAAGCAAATGTACAAACTTTTTCTCAATTGAATATTGTTATGTTATAGATGTTAGTTTGAATATATGACATTTGTAGTGTTGTCTATCGGCTAAGCCAAGTCGACATAGCCTCTGTTCTATTCAAATTTTAACTCGTAAAACATACTTTAAATTAGTTTCGACTCTTTTCTTAAAATATTTTTGGACAAATGCTAGTCATCCAAATATACCTTCCGAATCTCCAAGCATCTTGAAATCGTGATGCTATTCCAGGTCCAATATAGGGAGCTTTGATAACTCATCTGCGATTACATTTATATGACCGGGTATATATTCGATTATGAATAAAAAAATTTAAATCCAAATAAAAGTACTAAACTCTTAATCAATCGGATGTTTCTCAGAGTTTAATAAAGTCCGTGACGCGAACGAAACAGGTTTTGTCCTTCCGTCTAATTGGTGTAATACAGCCCATAACCCTGAATCAGAAGTGTCGCATTTCAAAAAATGCACTGCGCATTTAAGGAATTAACGTTTCCTCGAATGACAATAATTTTTTAACCTCCTCAAAGAAATCTTGTCCCTTTTTCGCCCACGCCAAGTTACTATCACGTTAGTTAATCTATGTAATAGAGAGTTTTACTAACTGTAAAACACTCAAGATAACTCATAAGTGAGAGAAAAAAAAGAAGTTATTATATATTATTAGATTTTGATGCATTCTGGGCCTTCATCTTATCTGGATTAGGATGTGTTGTACATAATATAAATAATTTCTCTTAACAGATGTATTATCTTCGAAAGAGCTATTTTGATTATTATTATTACATTGAAAAAGAAATTGCAAAAAAAGATTATTCAATGATTATTGTTAAAATTGATGTTTAATTTATGTTATAAGGAAAAAAAATATAGTTAAATAAAGTATCGCCATCTGAGGCGATACTCTTAAATTAATAAAATTTAATGCATATTACAATGGAACGTTGTATATTCTTTTTAGTCGACTTTTGAAAATTTTGCCGCAACAACGGATCTAATATCTTGGGGTGATGAGGAAATAGCGCAATTATCACTATAGTTTCAATGCGGGGAAATGATCCCTGTTTAAAGGTGCAGTATATTAAAGGGCGGAGAAGAAGCCGCTTCTAGACAAATATATAACTGGGAATTACTATACTATCAAAGTAAAATAAAATAATAAATATTCCAAAATTGGTAATTAATATATTATCAAAGTAAAATAAAATATTGAATAGTCGAAAATTTGGGATATTATTAAATATAATTTTTGATAGAAAAATTTTATAGAGTTATTCGATATTGGCTCTATTAGGAGGAAAAGATAGGCTTTCAAGTGCCAATATATTATTTGTGGATATTATGATTAAAGTAAACGCGGAATAGAATTATTCGAAATCTTTTCAGAGGGATGATATCCAAAAAAATATAATTTGGAATAAATTAAAATCATAGGAAATGATTTAAATTTATAAATTCGTTTTGAGAAATGTTATATTAACCAAAAAAATATTATTTGGAAAAATTAAGATCATATAGTAAATGATTCGAGTGCATAAATTCGTTTTCCTAAATATGATAATTCGTGGTGATATATACGATAGTATTTACAAATAAAACGAATAAAACGGCATCTTCTAATGGACAAAAAAGCCACATTTCTTAAATCGTGAGATGAATAAAACGGCCTCCTTCTGAGACGAATTAAATGGCGTCCTCCTATGGACATTAAAGCCGCATTTCTTATGGGAAGTTAGTAACATAGATGAATCCAACAGCGTCCTCTTATGGATAGAAAGTCAAATTTTTTAATTCTTATTATCGGGATAAAGTCACCCGAAAAATTATGATTAATCCTGATGATCTGTATTTCTTACAAGGAGACATGAAGGATTCGGGCTAAAATTTATCAATCACCGTATGGATCACTGTCGATATATTTGGAAATGATGTTCAACAAATCCGTTGGGAAACAATTTAATACCTCAGTGTAAGATATGTTGAATATTAGATATTTAAACAATGATGTTCAACCAAGTCGCGGAGAAGCAACTATTGCCTGAATATTATGCGATTATAGTGACCGACAAACATTGAAAATGAACATCAGAATTTAAATGAAAAAATTATAAATTATTGCATACTATGCAACATATGTATATTATGATTAACATTTTTTTAAATTAAAGACGCTTGACAATAAGGGTGGGTGTGGTGTAATCTCATAAAGTAAATAATTATTTTTAACAGATGTATTAAATCCGAAAGAGGTATGATGATTATTATTATTACATTGAAAAAGAAATTGTAAAAAAGATCATTCATTGATTATTGAAAAATTGATGTTTAATTTATGTTATAAGAATAAGAAAAGAAATATAGTTAAATTTGATATATCGTCATCAGAGGCTTAAATTCAAATAAAATATATTATAATTTAAATTAGGTGAAATTTCAATAATTATTGAAGGTTGTTTATTCTTTTTATTCGACTGATGAAAGGCTGTACACCGGATTAATCAATAATCACATCTTAAAATGATGCGGATTCCGTCAATTCAGCTTTAAAACTAGCCTCTGTATTTTATCTAACACGATTCACAACTTTTTTATATGCTCCTCATCGTTTCGACTTTAAATAATTACGATCTAAGAATGCATCGGTCATTTGACAATCTTTTCTCGAATATAGAAGGTGCACTTTCCCACCATAAAGAGGTAATTGTCGATAAAGAAAATATTTCTTATGAGTAGTTTTATTAGATTAGAAACTCCCGAGACTCCGATTTTACTTCCATCTGTAAGTGCGCATCCTTCAAATGGATCTATTACGGTAAATTTATCACCACCTTGTATTTTCAATAACAAATCGTCTAAGTTAGGAATAACATGATGGTCATACAATAAGAGTACTTTGAAATCAGCCCAAATTTAAATATCGCTATTACTCTTGCGCGCATTTATGTTTGGCGTTGACTACTGACAGGGGCGTCACTAATCTATAAAATATCAGGGGACTCCCCTAAAAAAAATTTATGGGGGCTTCTGCCTGGTTTATTATTAATATATGTAACTTTTTTAATTGGAATTTGCAAACTTTGAACAATTATTGTGAATTTCATATTTTGTCATTTATTATGCATGTAAACTAAGCTAGTATATAAATAATGAAAGACAAACAATACAAGACATTTCTATAGATAATATTTTTAAAAATATTTATTCTAGTATTAAATACTGCTGAATGCGGATATAAAAAAAATTTGCATCTAAAGAATTACAAGTGATAAAAAATGTTAATTAATTCATACACTGCCACAATTGAAAATTGTTTTTTAATAATCACACATGGTAATATAATTTTTAGCAACCTACATTGACAAAAGGTCATGAAATTAATATAACGTTCTGTTACCATTTTAGGCAATGTTTTATAGAATGAACTAATAAGGAAAAATTTGTTGGTCTAACCAAATCAATAATTGCTGATGAAGAAAATATAAATGACTAATCATAATCATAAAACCATATGGTGTTTAGTTTCCTCTTGGATGCCATGATGGAAGGTAGATAAGTAATTGAGAAAATTATTGTGAGATATTAAATTTCTAAAAGATTAGCTTCCCTTTTAATAATATATAAATGAATAAACAGTTGACCATTATTGTTCATCTAAATTATGCAATAAAATGCTCTCATCAGCAGGAGCATAGGCGTAGCCAGGATTTTCCTATGGGGGGGGGGATTAAAAAATTTCTGGGGCTTCGCCCCCAGACCCCATTTTATCTTAGTACTTATATAGTCATATAATATTTTTACAAGATAGGAGGTTAATTTTAATAAAAAAAATAAGCATGGAACAAATATGAAATATATTTTTATTAGTTTATATAAAATATAATAAATTACTTGTATATACATTAATATAAAAGCATGGTAATAATTTATTCCAAACAAGAAGAAATTTATTTATAAAAAATAAGTAGATATATAGTTGATATTCCTCTATTATATAGAATTGGTTAAGGTAAAATTCAACCTTTACAAACATATTTGACAGTTAGAGAATATATTACAGTTAATATTTTAACAAATTTTACTAATCAATGCTCTTGATAATAAATATAGCAATAATTTGCATTCAATTATAAAACCGCATCTATTTATTTTAAAATTAAAAATGATATTAAAAATTAATCTTCATATTATTCATCCCACAATGTCTTTAAATGATATTTTCTGATGTCCTTATCAATATTTTATAGTTTTCTGTAAAATATATAATTCGCTATATTAGTAAAAATTATTTGATTGTCATATGATAATTGATAAAATTAGATATACTATAAATCCACGACATATAATATTCCACTGTTTGTATTGTGCTTTAATTTTTTTATTTAATTTATGATTTAATTTATCAATAGTTTTTTAATTATATTTTACTTTTATTAAGATAAATAAATTAAAATTACTCAATTTATAAAAAATTATATTTGATATATTATATTATTTAGTAATTTTGTAGATCTATTATTAATAATTATAATACATTTCACTTTTGCCTTAAGACTTATCTTTGGCTTATATTTCATTTCTTAAAAAACACTTTTGGTTTACCTTTTTTATATATAAATGCTTTTTTCCAAAAATGTATAAACTATGATGAATAGTTTTAGTTTTAAAAAATATCAACTTTTACATTCTTTCTTTCAAATTATTGTTTAAGATATATGCATAATTTTTTGTCAGGAAGTGGGGGGGGGGTGGTAAGTGGGATATTTTTTAGCATAAAATGATATTCACAAAAAGGGAAAATTTTCTAGGGGGAGGGGGATTTTCTCTTTCCCCCCCCCCCCGGC